CAGACAAAAACATTCAAAATTATTTATTAAGTCTTTGAGAGCAAATATGCATTTTACATTTAGAAGACATCTCAATTTGGGTGCCAAATTTTCATCGTAAGTACTTTATCTGGGACCTACATTGTTATGCAATGGATTAAGCAGGTTTCATGTCCTGAGAGCTCCACTTCCAATCTGGCTCCCTACTAACGCATGTGGAAAAGTGGCAAAGATGGCCCAAGTACCAAGTAGTCCAGGCTTGAGACAGAAAGAGCCCCAACTCCTACTGAGCCAGGTTCTGCCTCTGTCCCCCTTTTGTCCTGACTCAGCACTATCAGATTGTGTTTTCCCTCTGAGGAAGAACCGCGGTTGGAGCTCACGGTTCTAATCCTGCTTCTCCTTTGTGAGCTTGGCCAAGTTCCTAATCCTTTCTGAGTCTTAGTTTCTTTATCTATGTGTTGAGAAACAGCAAGATCATTGGACTTCCTAGCATTATTGTGAAATGCAAATGCCTCACTTTGAGATTTCTCTGTAGAGCCACAAACTGTGAGTGAACTCTCTTCTGAGGAAATGAGGTTTTTCCAAGCAACAGACCAACATCAGATTAGCCTGAACTATGCAATCAGAACTCCCCCAAATGTGACCCTCGATACTTGAGGAAAAAGGACACCCCTCAAGATCTCTGTCTTGCATGAGGTGGAGATACCATAGTGCAGATCCTACCTACAGTGTATATGCAAATCATTGCATTAATCCTTCATCTTCAGAATTTTCAGGACCAGGAATTCTAGTTTAGGATCTCTTGGACCTTTATTGCCCCCCCTCCCTCCGCCCAATCAGGAAATTCCCAAAAGGATTTCAGTCACTCTTTTTCTGATATGACTGCACAATACTTCATCAAGGGCTCATGCTACTCCCCAGCTCATGTTGCCGCCTAGCACTCCAACCCTCACCCCTCCTTGTGCATCAGCTCAGTTTCTATCTGCTCTTCAGAGTCTTCTCTGCTCATCTCTGACAAAGCAACCTCAGAACCCTTGGAAAGTGAAGCTCCAACGGGCTGGACAATTCTTTGGGCTCTTAACCGCTACCATTTAAAATATCATTATATAAATGCTTTCTTATTTCTCTAGCTAGAGTACAGACTGAAATTATTCAGCAGTAATTTCTTGAGAACAAAGCATGTTGTTGCTTTTTAATCCCCTGGGTTTGCCTCACTGAACAGTCTGGGATTAGCTTTTACCATCAGGAGACTCTACACAAATGCTTGTTACCAGCTTGGTTGATTGCTCAAGGCCTAAGCCAGTCCACATAACCGCTTCTGCAGGATAGAAGGTCACAGTCTGGCCTGGCCCAGCCTTCCTCTCTGTCAACAGAACAGGGATATGGGGGAACAGAGGCTTCCAAGGCTTTAATAGTCACAGTCTTGTGTGTTTTTTGAGTCACAGGTAGTGGAGGTAGCAGGATGATGTTTGAGCCTTCCAAAATCATCCTCTGAAAATTTCATCTGAAAGGAAAATCAGCTGCTCCCTCTTTCCTGGGGGGTGTTCCGTATGGAAGGACAACTGGACCTCATCACACCTCTGGGCTCTCAAGAGCAGAAGCACATCAGAATTTCTGTCTGCCTTTCTGAGATGCCTGGATCTGACTCTGTCCTCCTCAGTCTTCTGTGGCCTTCCAAACCCAACAGTGGTGCAGACAAAGTCTCCTTTTGGAACCTACGGGCTTCAGATTTGCCTGTTCTATTTGTCCCCTGCACATTTACATAGTGTCCACCTCTCAGATGCCCCAACTCAGATGCTGGCCAAATGTTGTTGAAAGGGATTTAACTGACTATCCCTCATGCCATCCTCAGACACATGGTAAAGCAAATGTCACATATGGACACAACGATTTTTGTAAAAATGATTTTCACTGTAGTATTATATGAAATATTTAAATGTCCACATAGCAAGAATGCAGGTAGATATGAGGTAATATGTCCATGCAATTGCAAGCCATGCCACTATTGAAGAAAATAAAGGATATACATGCTGACATGAAACAAATTCCAAGATACATTGTTGGGAACTAAATCCAGGACAGCAAGTATTGTACGCTACCAGTTACATAAGAAAAACCTACACTTTAAAGGCATAGACGAGTTCTGGAAGTGTAGGAAAACAGGAGTCTGTATGCCAGGAAACCTCTCCAATGTATAGCCATAAGCAACTGGAATCTTGTGAGAAATCTCCAAGAACTCAGGGCAAAGGTCCTGAAGCAGCTGGGATGGGGAAAAATGGGCATAGAAGCTCCCTAATCCTCAAGCTTTGGTAATGGATCAAACAGAAGTGGGTTTTTTTGGTTTCTTTCATGTGCACACTGTGTAATTATTAGTGGCCTACTTAAAAAACACATTGTTCATTGACTCCTTTGCATGTGTACATGTAAGTTACATCCTGTTGCAAACCCTCCTCGCTTAGCCTATGTGACCCTCAATCTTTAAAACTCATTTGCTCATGATATACTTTGGCTATTGACCATCAGTCAGTAGTCCATGCGTGTGATTATCGACTCTGTGCACTAAGAGCCCTCTCTGCAGGACAGCAAACAGGGAGGAAATACAAAAAGTTGCCAGTAGCTGCCTCCAGGAAGGAACTGATAATCCTGAGAAAGATATATATTACTTGCTGCATTTATTTTTACTGCTGTATGTATACATTTTTTGTATTTTTTTCAGTGGTCAAAAGATCTTTTTCATATAAACTTTCCCCATATTTATGAAAAATAATTTCTCTCCTTGTTGTCCAGTCTGGATGCAGAATAGCCACAAAATCTCTTCTCCCCCTAAACCGTGGCTGCCATCTTATCTCTGTCGTAAGAAGTGCCGTGCCTGACTCCTTTGCAAGACAACGTGTGCTCCAGTGTGCATTTGTATTTCATGCACCTTGCACCCCTACATGCCTTTGATGCCACAGAGTTCTGCAGTTTTGCTTTCCCCTACACAGGTGGTGGCGGCAGTGAGGCTTTGTGGTCTCTGCACAGTCTCTCAGGAGCTCAGGCACTTCTTCACACAGAGTGGTGGGGCTTACCTTGGGGGTTTTCATCAACAACCAATCACACAAGATGATGGGGCTGTGTATGTAGTACCTCCCATTGACCATTTCGCAAAGCCCTGAGCCCTTGGGTCTTTTCTGCTGATTATATAAATCTGGCTAGTTCAAGATCTGCATGGGACATGTGAAAGGCCAGCAACAGCCAACGGCCAGTGACTTTGGTGTTTATCTGATCTGTTCTGACCACCATCATTTCCTGCTGTCTTTGCCCACTGAGCTACTTGACTCTACAGCTCAGCTCCTAATGTCAGCCTCAGATCTCCCAGGCCTGTATTTCCTTGGGTTTCAGCTTCTGCATGGGCCTTAATATATGTGGCCTGTCTGCATTTCTCACACAGGGGAAGTCAGCCTGGCCTGGTACAGTCAGGCAGGGCACACATCAACCCTCCTTCATGAGACTAAATGGCTGCTGCTGTTGGTTTTCTGTTTCCCAGATAAAAACAAGGCAGAAGGACCTTGGCAGCTTTCCACGAAGCCATATCCTTCTCCAGCAGTATTTAAATGGACAAGTTCTTATGAATGGCCTGCAAGCACCCTTTGGCTGCTGTAGAAAGTAAGAATGTAGCATATGAAAGATGTATATGTTTGATTCAGGCAAGGGATATAGGTTCTTTCCATGTAACAACACAGGTCTGTATAAAATTTACATCTTCAGACACGGGCTCTGTGCACTATCCCCTGTTGTGGTCTCTGAGTAAGTCCTCTTCCAGTTCACCCTCTTGTGTTTCCTGGACTTGGTCTTACACCTCACAACCTTATTGAAAGGTTTATCTTAAAGCCTTGGGCAACCAGTGTAGTGCCTGGCTCCTCTTGTTTCGTAGTCACCATTCAGCTGCCTTAAACTCTCCTGCAGTGTATTCCATGGGGAGCATCATCAGAGCACCAAATCTTACTAGAATGTGGTTTCTAATAGACTACGTCTTCTGGGAAGGAGTCACAGTACCTTTCTTATACTGTGTCTTTGTCAAACAATGTATACACACTAAGGGTAAAATTGGTCTTGCCTTGATGATAAAGCATGTCCTTTAAGTGAGTTTTCTCTCTTCTCAAAATATTTACTTATTTTCATTTTCCTTAAAAGGTAGGGAAACACACACACACACAAATTCCTCCATTCACTGTGTTTTTTTTTTCCATTAATACTTTTAACTGTCAGGGCTGGACCATGCCGGAGCAAGGAGTCTGGAACTTAATCCAAATCTCCCATGTGGTTGATAGAAACCATAGCATTTGAGCCATCATCTACTGCCTCAAAGGTTATGTACTAGTAGAGGGCTGGATGAGCATAGAAAGCCAGGACTGACTTCGGGCACACTGCTATGAAATGGAGACTTCCAAAGCACTGACTTCACTCCTGCTACACCAAACACCTGCCCCCTGGATGAGCTTTCTTTTCAGGGATGGGTTGCTTTGCACCATCAACTCTCATGTCTGCCCATGCCCTTTTGTGACCAGCTGGCCAGAAGTAGGGTGTAAGATATGGCAGAAAGTTGTTCATCTTCATGTGAGTCAAGCCCAACCTCTGATCTCAGAGAATATGCCAGCAACATCCCAAAAAATGTACCTCACAAAGGAGGACATCTTACTCTGCCCTGAAGTCACCATCATTTCCTCTTCTTGCTTTGGAAGATGAATCTAGGCAGGGAGAGGATCTAGGAATGCAGTCATTCCAGATCTGGGAGAATGGGAGCCACAGAACAGATTAGGAAACCTGAGAAAGGGAATCTCCATGCTAACATCAGCACCAACGGGCATTTCCATAACATTTGACAGATTACTAGTACCTGAGATGTGTTCTAGGAATGATCCAGCATTTCCATCCATTCATGTCCTGGCTATTAGTTTGGAGATAAAACTTAACAGATTTATGCTTATCATGATTGTGAGAAATCATCTTCAAAACAAAACATAGGCCATCAACAGATTTCCACATCCCTTCCTGACTAGGAACTTTCCTGTAGAGATTCCTGTAGCATCATCCACTGTGCTAATTCCCGAAGCAGATGCTGATGTGTTGGAGAAGTGAGAATGGCTCCAGCACCTAGGGATAAACATCAAAGTGCTCCAGCTCTTTGCGACTCAATCGAGCAGGGTTCTGTGCTTTAGGTGTTTTGCTTCCAACCTGTAGAAGAAAAGGAAAAACTTCAGACCTATTCGATAGGAGCTCCTGTGGAATATGAAACTGTGTCCCCATTTTACATATTGAGTAAATGAGGTTTGGAGTGGTAGAACAAAATCCTTAGAGCAGGCAACTAGTCTTAAGTCCAGTCCCACTGCTTTCAATTCTGGTGCTTTTCCTAACCACACTATGCTTTGTCCAGATCCCCAGTGCTGCTGAAGTCCACCCATTTCCTCTAGAAACCCATCCTGTTCAGCCAGCTTTCATGTTGGGCTTCAGCTGAAGTGCCGGGGATTGCAGCAGCAACCCACTCAACATCTCCCTTGTGACCTGTTACAACATCTTTACTGGACTGCAGATGGAGGTTGGGTGTGGTATGAGGCTAATGAGTGGGGGTGATATGCACACAGTCATTTCTCCAGGCAAGTGAGAAGTGTAGTTATACCAGTCATATACCAACATGTGGAGATTAGATAAAGCAATTCATGGAAGACACTGTCAGATTGCCTTATATAGCATGACCTTAAAGTTTGAGTCTTCTCTCGACTCCGACATGCACATTCATTCTCTAAATGACCTGAGGGGAACCAATTCAGCCACCAGGCATGGTCCCTTGTAGATCATTTACCCCAGCAGAAGCCTCAGAACACTCATGTCCTTGAATAATCCCCAATCTGATTTCAGGGAACTCATTTAGAATCACTTATCATCCACACACTGACCTCCTCCTGCCCTGATCCTCCCACAACATACACTCAAACCTTTGGAAAACTTGTGGCTCACAACCTGGGAACTAGCTTAGGGACAACCATAACGTGCAACCCGAGTCCAGTGAGAGTCCAACTTCATATGACCTTGTGGTACACGCCGACTCTCCTTGAGTCTCCATATATTAATCTCTGAAAGGAATAGTTGGTGTGCAGGCTTTTGTCACAGAGGTTAAGAAGCAACTCGGAGTACTCACATTCCATATCCAGGTGCCAGGATTCGGTCCCCGGCTCTGCTTCTGATTCTAGCTTCCTGTTAACGCATGCTATAGGAAGCAGCAGATAACAGCCCAAATACTTGGCCCTGCCACCTATGTGAGCATCCTAGATTGAGTGCCTGGATCTTTGCTCCTGGCTTTGACCTGGTTCAGTTCTGTATGATGTGAGCCTTTAAGGGGTCAAACAGCACATGGGATTTCTCTCTATCTGGCTTTTTCTGCCACTTTACATTTCAAATAAAATACATGAATTAAAAAATGAAGATTTGGATTAGAAGACCCTCCTTCTCCCCAAATGACTGAAACTCTAAAACTTTGTGGATAACCTTTTCCTAAATACCCCTGAACTGGATATCAGTGCTTTGTTGCAGAAACTAACCCACTTAAGAGAAGTTCCAGAATCCTACCTCATCGTAGATGGAGTAACTGACAGGAGAGCTGCGGGTCTTCTCCTTGGATGCAGACTAGAAATTCAGAGTAAGGAATTCTTCATTTCAGGTTTAATGACATTCCAGTGTGATGTGAGAGGTTCTAAAGGAGACTTGGGACCCAGAACCCCCCGGGGATGTTCTCAGCCAGACAGTGAATACAATCTCTCACTCAGGAATAAACACTGATATTTATGGTTTCCAAGAAAGGGAAAATGCATAGTTGCATATGAAGATACATCTGTCCCAAAGTCAGAGCTTAGCATCTCATACCCATATATGCATAAAGCAACCGTGCCCCACCCCACACACACATATACGTTCCTGGTGCAGTGTCTAGCAACATCTATACAGACTTGTACTGTGGTGCTTAATCCACCACTCACACTCTCATGGAAGGCGCACATTGATTCAAGGACTTATTGAAAGACAATGGATTAAAAACCTGAAAAATGTGTTCTAAACTGCATCAAGCATACAGTCCATGACTTGCATGGTTGCATGGACTTTCACGAATTCCAAGTTTCCCACACATCACATCAAGGTTCACAGCTTTATGCTGTGACTCCAGCCTTGGGAACACCACTCCTCCCATCCCTTCCCACACAAGGTAGAAAGGATGGCCACAGCCACCGGATTACCTAGCCCAGATCCAGGTACACATATGACCTCACTGAAGAAAAGGAGCTCAGTAGATGTACAGGCTCCCCTCTGTCAGGAGGCCTCCACTAGCAGCTAGTTGGCCAGAACCTCTGTTCCCTGAGGATCAACAGTGTGTTGCTCCGTGTCTGCTCCCCACCTCCAGCTCCAGGTAAAGCTCTGCCTATGAAACCTCTCCATTATCTCAGCCGTAGGGCCAGCTGCTCTTGCAAAATCCTGTGGTTCCTCTGCACAGACCACTTTCTTTCTAACCTTTGCCCCAGCAACCCCCTCCTCCCACATTCTACTCACAAAGAAAAAAAAAACTTGTGGAAAATCCTATTATTCACTAGTCATTAAATTTCAGAATTATTTCTTTTCTGTATATAGAATCAGGAAGGCATTTCTTGTTAGCCTCTTAACATCTAAAATCAGTTAATAGAAGCTCTTCATAAATACATACAATGGAGAACAAATCTATATACACACATTTTCTGCAAACTCATCCCTGCATGTGTGCGCGCACACACACACACATGCTTGCACACACATGCCAAACACACAGCTGCCTTAGCAGCACCTGGGAGGAAGAGGGAGAGACTCACCTTCCGGGAGGTCTGTACGAGTGCATACAGCGTATTTGATGCATTCGAAGCATCTTGTGGAACAGAAGCAGGTGCCTAATGAGAAGAGAAAGAAAGCCATTTCAGAATCATGGATCCAGCACAACCTTCAGAAGGTCATCTATACCTTGCCCGGATGGGAGATGTACCCAGTACTGAGAAGGACCTGGACTAATGGGGTAGTCAGACAACCTAAGAGCTGGTCCCACTTGCATTGAGGACAGTTACTTCATATGTACATGTTTGCTTTATCCTTGAGACCATTCCACAAGATGAGATGGCCACAGCTTACCTGTAGCACAGATGAAGCTCTCAAAGTGTAAGTAGCCCATAGAGACATTGCACACACAGAAGCAGCACTCAAACCCAACATTCTCATGAACAATTTTCTAAACATGCAAGTGCTGCTCTTTGCCCATGTGGATTTGGGCTAGGTGGTCTCTGAGACAAAAGTGCACCCTCGTTTTAAGATGCTCTGATCTCACCCTAATTCAGCACCCACGCCTGAGAGGAGCTCTTCTTTTCATTAACTGCACTTTCTCTCATTGGAGTTCCATATAGAAGAAGCAGAATTAGCAGTCACGAACAATTCCTATCAGGTTAATTCTTATCAATTCTAATCAGGTTTTCTTGGTTCTATAACTTAGCGAGAAAGTTTTTTAAAAGATGCTGCTGCTTCAGCTACCCGGCATTTTTTATTATTTTATTATTTTATTATTTTTTATTATTTTATGATACAGTTCCATAGTCTCTGGGCTATGTCTTACCCCTTCCTGAATCTGCTCCCCCCATTGATTGACCTCATATTATTACAATAGTATAGTCCTTCATAAGCAATCCTAAGTCCATCATTCTGCTATTTAAGTGTATTCTGATGTTGCAGGTACAGACAATGGCAGAGAGTCCAGCATCCTATTGTCAAGATATATTTAACAGTTTCATTGGGAGTCCATCTTTGATTTGGAAGTAGAGATGCATACTGCATTGTATCTTCACATCTTGATGTGATAGTCTCCATTACAGTTATTATATATCCCCCCCTTAAATGAAAAGCTATAAAACAAAAGCAGCAACACGGAGAAAAACAGAAAATTACAACAACATGAAGTTGAATAACATGCCACTGAATGACTAATGTGTCTCTGAAGAAATGGAAAAGAAAATTTAAAAAAAAATCTTGAAGCAAACGATACTATTGTATGAACTATGAGTCAGTGAAGAAACTAATAAGAAAAAAAAAACTTTTTTGAAGAAATAAAAATAAAAATATCAAAACCCATGAGATGTAGCAAGAACATTGAAAGGGCCATTGATTTTGTGTTTTGCATGAAGGTCGCCTTATATCAGAAAGAACATATGCTATTTGTTCTTTTGAGATTGATTTATTTCGTTGTGCATAATGGTCTCTAGTTGGGACCACTTGGTTGCAAATGGTAAAATTCTATTCCTTTAGCTCTTCCCTCTCTTTCTTGTCAATCTCCCACCACCTCCATCCATTCCTGCCCCTAAGGTTAAAAAAAAAATCCATTCCTTTAAATGGCTGAGTAGTATTCCATGGAGTAGATGCACCACAGTTTCTTTATCCTCTCCTCTTTTGATGGACATCTGCATTTGCTATTGTAGATTGGGCTGCTATAAATAAGGATTACAGATCCCTTTCCTCATAAATTTTTCATGACACGGTTACTACCTAACATTTTTCAAATTTTTATTAAGATATTTTTATCACTGCCACAAGGTGGCAGTATTTTGACCAAAAGCGTTAGGTTATCAAGACTGCCAATATTACAGGAGGCTTCTCCAGCTCATGAGAGAATTTCTGTAATCCCAGAATGCTAGGCGCGAACTAAGAGGATGGAGAATAGGGACCCATGAATCACCTGACTTATCATTGTCACTACCAAGCTATGTGGCCTGAAGCACACTGAGTTAACCTGCATCTCAATTTCCTCATCTGTGATTTGGGATTTAAAGCACATGTGAAGTATTAGAACCAATTCATCAGGATACATGATGTTTATTAAGAAAATGGGTATTACTTTAATATACAATAAAGCAAAAGGGACCAAGACAGCTCTATTCTTTGCTGAAAACTGGAGAAATCGAGAATGAAGATTTAAGAAAGAAGAAGAGGACGTACAAGGGTTTGAAGTATCAGAAGCAGCAGGAAGGGAAAACAGCGACAGTTCTCTCAGGTGTTTAACTCTCCTCCTGTGGCTTTACTCGGCCACACTGTATCAAGCATGAAGAAAAGATGCCTTTTCCCAGCCTTCCCAGCTCTGTTCATCGCCACATGGGAATTTTCAAATAATTTCTTAAGGCCATTTAAACCAAGCTGACTTCTGGACTCCAAGAACCCTGAGGTCTCATCCTGCATTTAAAGCTGCGCATCTAAAGAGTGCATTAGGGGGCCCTTGGAATGGGTACAGACGGATTAGGATCATCAGAGTGGTACCTGAGCATGGATCATGGAGTAGATGGTGCTCCCTCCTGGGGGTTTCTGCTGCTCCTCCTCTTGCACCCGATGCTCCTGCTGCTGCTGCTGCTGCTGCTGCTGCTGCTGCTCCTGCACAGACATGGGATAGGGTCGCTGGAGTGATGGGAGCAGGGGAAGACAGCATAAAGGAGATGCAGTAACTCCTGAGAGGCTGGGTGTGGGGAGCTGGCAGCAGGGAGGGAGACAGGGGAAAGCAATTTGTAGAGGAGCAGAAAACAGGTTGGAAGGGCCTCACACGACCCCACCCAGGGGATCCTGTCTCTGCCTGGTGATGTAGAAACTCTTCCTTGATTTCACTCATGTCTCCATGAAATTGACCACACAACCATCAATAACCAGCTGAGCTGCAAGAAAGGCTGTTACCTGAGCTTCGTCTCAGGGTACCAAAATTCAAGATTTAAACACTGTAAACCCTTCCCTGGCTCCAGACTTCATGGTCAGCATTCCCCTGGGCAGCTACAGGGCTGTGTGGAGGCTTGGACCCAAGGCCCAAGGCAGGAGTTTCCCTCTTCCTTCTTCCCTCTCATCAAGCTCAGACCTAAGGGAGTTACTTAGTATGACCAGGACAGAAGGGTTTGGCCACGTGTGCTTTCTCTGCAAGACTACCTCCTGCAGCCAGATGCCAGGAAGGCACTTCCTCCCCATCCTTGCTGTCCCTTCATACAGCAGTTCAGAGGCACTTTGAGACAAGGCCTGCCCTCTGTCCTCTGCCACGATGCTTTACTTGCTCAGGGGCACAGTGATGGAGACATCTGCTGAGGAGGTATCCTCTTCTGCAGCCAAGGATGGTGGGCAGAGTTGGCCGCTGCCTGCAGCGAGCTGGTTTGGGCTTGGTTGGTCACTCCTTCTACCACTTCAGCCAGACTCAGACCTCTTCCTTCCAAAAGGGTATGAGTGCAAATCACTGAGCCAGTTACAGAGCTGTTGTGGTTTGGCTGTCACGCCACCCCAGCTTACGTAATAATTCAGAGACCATGAAAGCAACTCCAGGTTTCCTAGGAAGGTGAGAGTTTGTGACGGACACAAAAAAATTTTTTTAAAGTAGCATTCCTCCTGGCACTACATCCCAGTTGATGACACTGGGCAGAAATGAGGGTGCCATGGCATAATCTGGGAAGGAAGCAGCGATGGGCTGCCCTCTGTTAATGATTTCTGACATGCTCCATCCATCCCTTTTTGGCAAGTGCATCTGCACCAAGATGCCCCCTCCCTTGCCACTCTATTTACTCAGCTGTCTGTTTTCCACTTCTCCTCATGACAGAGCCAGAAAGCTGTGCAGAGAGAAGACAGCTGGGGACGGCTGAGGGTCCCTTGCAGAGGACAGCTGAGCAGCTCTCTGTGCCTGCTCTGAATGCCCATCCCACAAAGAGCATTTTTCCAAACCCATTGAGAAAGTCTCCAGCCCCTACGATGCCATACTTGACTTCTCATTTTCAGGTCCTTGATATCTTCATAAACTGTCAGAAATTCCGTGGGGCTGGTCTCTGCAAGAGTAGAAAAGCAAAGAACACAGTTGTTGGAACATTCACAGGCCTTCCTGGCCATGCTTCTGCTTTTGCCAGGTCCCTGCTCTAAGGCAACTGGCCAAGACTTTAAGTCTAGAAAGGAGTCTGGTTGATGCTGTATCCAGGACATAATGGAGCAACCAAACTTGACATGCCTCTTCCATCAGGCTGGGCAGGCATCCCTCACACCAGCCACCTACGGGGTAAAGCTGGACATTGGGGGTTAGACTAAATGTACAACAGCCACCACTGAGGACATGAACTGGAAGAAAGGGCTCAGCAGTCAGGGCTTGTCCTCCCCCAACCAAGCACACACCCTTCTCAAGGAAAAGCATATCCTGCATTCCAAGGACACAGGATCAAGACGCTGAGTTCCAATACTGCAGGCAATGGCACCCCAATGACCTTCCACTTACCCAACCGCTTCCTCTTCCTCCTCCATACGCAGAAACAGATGACGGCGCCAAGAAACAGCATGGTCAGAATCACGATGACCACCAAGAAGGGCAGAAATTTGGATCCTAGGAGACACAGAAGACTGTGCTCTCAGAACTTCCTCTTCCTCCCCTCCCCCACCTGTCCGCTGCAGGGACCATCTCAAATCCCACTCCCCTCTTTGGTGTTGACCTCATGCCTTATGAATTCAACAGTGAGGTCGTCTCTTTGCTTAGCTGAGTAGCTCCTAAGGGATGCCAAGGCAGGGGGATTTCTATCCAACAGATCTGTTTTAAATTCTAACTTTGTAAGCTCTGTGCTACTTGCTTAATGCCATTCAGCCACAGTTTTTTTCCTGTAAAAAGATGATTTGTCTCCCTATGTGGGTTAATTACAAGATCTAATATTAAACTGCTTCAGGAAGTGCACAGAAAATAGAATTAAAAGACAAAGATTTTGTGCAAAATGTTTTTGAAATTTGTATGTTGTTTTTCCATAATAAATACTGTTCATAAACTTTTAGAAAACCTTCTGTATGTATGGATTTCAAAATTTTTACCCCAAAGGTAAACTAGAATTTATTCCCATCTTCTATGAATCTCTGAAGCACCCATATATATATGCAAAGCATCTGACACAGCAAATGTGACATCCATCCATTCACTTGCTTTTAGTAGGGCCTGATGCCATGGCATAGTTGGTTAAGTTTCTATCTGTAGTGCCAGCATCCCATATGGGGAAATGGTTTGTGTCTCTGAAGCTCCATTTCTGATCCAGCTTCCTGCTTGTGACCTGGGAAAGCAGACAAAGATGGTTCAAGTCTTTGAGCCCCTGCACCCATATGAGAGACTTGGAAGAAACTCCTGTCTCCGGGTTATGGACTGGCCCAGCTCCAGTTGTTGCAACATTTGGGGAGTGAACCAGCAGATGAAAAACTTCTCTCTATGAGTCTCTCCTTCTCTCTGTAACTCTGCCTTTCAAATAAAAATATAATAAATCTTTTAAAATTATTAATTGCATACCTGCCCTGTGTTGACAAGTCTGCCATTCACTTTCCTACTATTCCTGCTTTCACTGCTGCCCCTCATTTACATTTCTCATTTAATACTGGGAGAAGGAGCTGGTGTATAATCCCACCAACAAGGGAAGAAGGGGAAGGAAATCAGTGTCTCAGGTGCTGGCTGACTAGGTTCTTTGGAAAATGTCACATCTGCAACCCTTGAGGTGCGTGTTAGCGCCACTCCATTCCACCCTCCCCACCTAAAGAAAATTAGAGGTTAGAGAAGATGAGAGCCTGAAATCCCCAAGTTAGTGGATGACGAAATCACGACTGACATGATCCAAATGCCACTGTCCTTGTCACTGTCTTAGGTAGTTCATTTTCGCTTACTAGTACTTAGTTTTTATGGCCCCAATATGGCTATAGTTTCCTTAAGGTTAGGAACTGCATTGATTGTATTCCTGTAATGTTAGTGTTGATGGCATTAAGTCTTTGTCTAATAAAAAGTGGTGCACATTTAACTCAGGTAACCCTCCCGATGAACATATGCAATAAACCAGAATTCTCCTAAATATCCCTGGATTCTTCTGGAGTCCAAGAGCCATTGCAGGACTGAGTTGCCAAACTACCGTGCACTCCTATAGTAAAGATAAACTTGCCCCTCCAGAAGAAGACAAGGATTAGGTTCATCCTTGACAAGGGCAGGTCTGGCTCTGCAGACAGAGAGACCCCTGCAAGAATGCTATAAGGCATTGGGAGACAAAACCAAGGGATCTCACATTGGATTTCTTTTCCAAGAGCCTGCTTTTGCAATCCAACACCTTCAGTCCCTGTTACAGGCCAAAGTACCCCACATACCCTGGTGGGCACTCAGGCAGCCCTGGTTAATGGTGATGGTGTGATTTGCCCAGCTGGCAGGGTTGCTGACATTGCAGGTATATGTGTTCTTGCCATTAACGTCACTCCACTGTTCCACGTAGGTGAAGTTGCTCTCCATTTGGAGCAGCTCACCATTTTTGTGCCAAGTGTAGTTCACATTGCCATCTATGGAAACCAGACAGGACAGAGTCATTTGGCAACTTCCTGTCTTCAGGGGCTTCCAGTCCTCCTGTATGTCAGGCCTCTTGACACGATCTGGAAGCAGAGATGCTGGTCAGAAAGGCTCTGGATAGACTAGACCTACAGGAATCAGAGGGGCAGGGTGCCAAGCCCTAGAGACTCACCAAACACAGTAATGTTGAACAGGACTGTACAAACTCCCCCAGTATCATAGGTAATCTCCAGTATGTAGAGACCACTGTCCTGCTTATTTGCTTCCTTGATGTGAAGAGTCTGGTTTTCCATTTTCCATGTATTGTTTGAATTAGTCAAAGACAAAGAGTCAGAGGTCTCATCAGTTTCCTTCTTCCAAGTCCATAAGACCTTAGAGTCTGCAGAGGATAGCTTCATCTTCCAGCTGAACTCCGATGGCAACTGTGTTGTAAAGGATTGGGGCTGTAACCGGAGAGGCATTCCCACGACGCCATTCTTTTGGACAGTATCACCTAGGCATTCTATAGAAAAGAACCCAAGTTAAAGTGAAGATGGCAGGGAAAACAGTGTGGACAGTTTAATGTGACTTCTTTTAAGACAAGAAGACTGGAGACAATTTAAAGAGCTTCCAGTGTGCTTCTCTGCCTCCCTTCTCCCATGTTCTGTTCTTCTCATGTGAAGGAACCAGCAGCTCAATAATACAAGCTGAAATCTCTCAAGTAATTACTATATGATGGGCATTTTCCAAACACTTTAAATGTTTTAACTATTCAACATCACAATCATCCTAGAAGCTTCTAACCTTATTTTTATAGGCAAGGAGGTTGAATTAGAAAGAACTTAAGTTAATGGTCAAGTTACACTACAAAAATGCTGAACTTGAAATTCAGTCAACTTGGCATTCTAGGATAAATCCATAAACATTGAAAATTATACTATCTACAGCAATACAAAGTTTTAAATATCTAGAAATATATTTGACAAGAAAAATTTAATACCTGAATACTGAATGCAGCAGAAGACATAAGTTCCTCTAGTTTTGTAGTTCTAACTTTAAAATACAAAATAAAAAAACTTCTGAAAGCTAACTAAGTGGAAGAATATATTCTGACTTTTGTTGCATAAGTTGATACTGTTAAAAGAACAACTGTTTCTAGATTAATTTATAAATTCAATACAATTTCAATAAAAATTCTAGTGGGTTACCTTGTAGAACGTTATAAATTGATTTCAATTTTTATATAAGATGTAAAGAACTTGGAATAACTACAAGACTTTCACTACTCAATATCAAGATTTACCATAAAAATTTCAGAAATTGGACTCGGAAGATGGCCGACGTAGGAGGAGGGCTGTGAGGGAGAGTCTAGTGAGAGAGGGATAGAAAGCTACAGAAGCAGCAAAGAGGAACAGCAGGGAACCGCAGGGAGAGGTCCGTGAAGCTCCCTGGGACAGTGTGGAGCCAAAAAGATCCACACAACTCGGAAGAACAACGAGAACGGAGCAGGGCAAAGGCAGAGAAACCGACATCCCACTCCAGACCTGCTGAGTCACTTTTGAAAACGGCCTGACGGGAGACGCGGCCAGCTCGGAGGCGGGGAGATCAGGGGGATCGTCACCGGCGGGAGGCCTTCGGCAGCGGTGGAGGCAGACTGCAGCGGCCGGACGTTTGGTGAGCTGGGGGTTGACGTGGCAGCCTCCGCATTTCTTGCCCCCCGCTGAGGCCCCAGCCTCAGAACGCGGAGCAGACGGCCGAAACTGTTGGGTCTGTGTGGAACTAGGCACAGTGGTGTTGTGTTGGTGGCTGAGGGGGCCCCGGGAAGGCGCATCGGATGTCCCTGCGCTGAGGGGACCAGTGCGGCTCGGTGCGCAGAGGTAGCTGGCGAGGGTCTGGAGTCCCCCACATCCTGCCTGGTGAGTGCTTGAAACCACCAGGACTCTGCCGCACCGAGCGGGCTGGGCGCCCCGCCTGCAGCAGCAGCACCTCCGTAGCGCAGGTGTCAGGTGTCAGGGGAACTCCTGCAACAAACTGACACGGTGCGAACCTGCCGCCGTGAAGTCATTATAACAGGGCGCCTGGGCCACTCCTCCGCTAAGGGCCTGAGTGGGGGAGCCACACGGGAGCAGGGGCTCTGAACACCCACACACCACGAGTGGTGGATTCACTGCACAAGAGCCACGCCTGCAAAGTGCCTCACCCACAGTCCCGTGTGTGGGAGACGCACCAGGTGGGCTCTGAAAAACCCTGCAGTCCCTGACACGGAGAACGCAGGGAGAAAGCACATAAAACCTTCTACGCACTGCGGATTCCCGTGAAGGGAGCACACCCAGAGAGCGCCTCCATCCCGCCACGCCCTGGGGTGTCACACCTGTAGAAGAGGTGCCCAGAGTGTGCCTGGAATCCACTGGGCCCCCAAGGTGGTGCTCTACAGCCCCGGGCCCTGAGAACGCACCAACGGTGCCTTGAAAATTACCACGCCCGGCAACACCACGCCTACAGGCTCCAATCTCTACAGGAAAGCACCTGACGACCCCTCAACACACGGGTCCATTTGCCTCACCAGAATACACCAACGCAATGGGAAAAACCACCAGAAAGAGTTGTGCTCCAGATGAAAGAGCCAGCACCCCACCAAACAAGGGCCAAAAGCCATTATCAATATCGACGATACGAGATGAAGACATGGAAGTGTTACCAACAAAGGAATTGATGAAAATAATGCTAAAATCTCTCAGAGACGTGGACACAAAGCTGGAAGACTTCCAGAACCGCATAATCACCGAAATACAACAAATCAAAACCAAACTGGATGCCCAAGATAATAAGATTGAAAGCCTCATCAACAGAATAAATGCGGCAGAGGAAAGGATCTCTGAAACAGAAGACACACAAAATGAAAGTGCCCAGCGAATTAAACAGCTGGAGACAAACCTCAGCAAAACTAATAAAATGATGCAAGAGATGAAGGATTACCTTAGAAAATTGAATATTCGGATCATCGGCCTCCCCGAGGGAGTAGAAAGAGAATCTGGGATGCAAGCAGTGCTCGATGAAATTATACAGGAAAACTTCCAAAACACTTGGAACACGAATCCACCCCGCATACAGGATGGACAGAGAACTCCCAACAGACATGATCCAAAGAGATCTTCACCCAGACACACGGTGCTCAAGTTCTACTCCAATGAAGACAAAGAAGGAATCCTGAGACAAGTACGAAGTAGAGAAAAGATCACATACAGGGGAAAACCCATCAGAATCACTGCTGACTTCTCCGAAGAGACACTACAAGCAAGGAGAGAATGGACAAAGATCTTCCAAGTCCTGAAACAAAACAACTGTCAACCAAAAATAATCTACCCAGCAAAGATCTCATTTGTATATGAGAACGAAATCAGATACTTCAATAGCAAAGAAAAACTAGAAGAATATGTCTACACAAAACCAGCTCTGCAAAGTCTCCTTAGAAATGCGCTAGTCCCGGACAAAAAGGAGGCAAATCACAAACAAAGTTGGCAAATAAGAAGGTCTCCAAACTAAAGGCCGCACCAACAAGACAATTACATAGGCAACAACACACACACAACACAATCACATGGCAGGGCAAAATTGCAACCTCTCAATTTTAACTCTCAACACAAATGGTCTAAATTCACCAATCAAAAGACAGAGATTAATAGAATGGATCATCAAACAAGACCCAACCATCTGTTGCCTACAAGAAACGCATCTAACCAGAAAGGATGCAAAGAAACTGAAAGTGAAGGGATGGAAAAAGATATTTCACGCCAATAGACGAGAAAAAAAAGCTGGGGTAGCTATCCTAATTTCAGACGAGATAGATTTCATTCTAACCAACATCAAAAGAGACAGGGAAGGCCATTTTATACTGGTGAAAGGAATGATCCATCAAGAAGCAATCACCATCATTAATGTTTATGCACCGAATCTTAATGCACCTACTTACGTAAAGCAATTACTTACAGACTTAAGGGAAGACATAGACACCCGGACAATTCTTGTAGGCGATCTCAACACACCTCTAACAACAATGGACCGGTCTACGAAACAAAAACTCAACAAAGAAACAACAGAGCTCACACAAACAATAGAACAACTGGACTTAGTAGACATATATAGAACTTTTTATCCTAAGTCCACAGACTATACCTTCTTCTCAGCGGTGCATGGCACCTTCTCCAGAATCGACCACATGATAGGACATAAAGCGAATCTAAACAACTTCCAAAACATTAGTATCATACCATGTACCCTCTCAGACCACCATGGGATGAAACTGGAAATCAACAACTCAAAACTCCCCAGGAAGTATAGGCACTCTTGGAAATTGAACAACATGCTATTAAACGAACAATGGGTCAGAGAAGAAATTAAAGATGAGATCAAAAAATTTATGGAAACCAATGAAAACTCTGATACAACATTCCAAAACTTGTGGGACACCGCCAAAGCAGTGCTACGAGGTAGATTCATCGCAATCGGAGCCCATGTCAAGGCCCAAGAAAGACGCCAAATACAGGAACTAACCTCACACCTCCAGGATCTGGAAAAACAACAGCAGAAGAGTCCCACACACAATAGGAAACAAGAAATCATCAAAACAAGGGAGGAGATAAACCAAATAGAAATCAAAAAAACTATACATAAAATCAACAAATCAAAAAGTTGGTTTTTTGAGAAAATAAACAAAATAGACACTCCACTGGCCCGATTGACCAAAAAAAAACAAGAGAAAGTGAGAATCAATAGCATTAAAGATGAAAAAGGCAACATAACAACAGACACTGCAATCATTAAGAAAATAATTAGAAATTACTACAAAGAACTGTACTCCCACAAATTTGAGGACCACCAAGAAATAGAAAAGTTCTTGGACTCCCACCACTTACCAAAACTCAGCCCGGAGGCAACTGCAGAATTAAATAAACCCATAACCGAGGTAGAGATTGAAACAGTCATCAAAGATCTCCCAACGAAAAAAAGCCCAGGCCCAGACGGCTTCACTACAGAATTCTACAAAACATTCCGAACAGAACTAACCCCAATCCTCTACAAGCTCTTCAAAACAATAGAGGAGGAAGCAACCCTCCCAAACTCATTCTATGAAGCTAACATCACCTTAATCCCAAAACCGGACAGAGAACCATCAGAGAAGGAAAACTACAGACCTATTTCTCTGATGAACATTGATGCTAAAATTCTCAACAAAATCCTAGCCAATAGAATTCAAAAAATCATCAGACAGATCATTCATCCGGATCAAGTAGGATTCATCCCTGGAATGCAGGGA